ATCAGGCATATGCTTTCTACTATGTAGGTTTTATTTTCACACTCTTAGCTGGTTGTTTTTGTTTGTTTCTGTTTTTATTTTTGTTTCAAGACAGGGTCTTGCCGAGTTTACTGTGCCCAGGCTGGACTCAAACATATGGTGATTCTCCTGCCTAAGCCTCCCAGATGCTGGGATTATAGCACGTACCACCATGCCCAGCATTCTTAATGTTTTTTGAACAGAGGTTTTAAATTTTGACAAAATTTAATTTATCAATTTTTTATAGATTGATTTTGGTGTCATATCTAAGAAATCTGTGCATAATTCAAAGTCATAAAATTTTCTCCTATGTTTTCTTCCAGAAGTTTCATGATTTTAGATTTTATGTGTATGTCTATAATATGTTATGAATTAATTTTTATACATGGTAAAAAGTCTAAATTCATTCTTTGGTATATGTATAATCCAGTTCCAGCTGCTTTTGTTTAAAAAAAGGCCACATGTCCTGTATCTTGTCAAGTATAGTTTTTCACATTTTTAAAGCTTGATGCCAGTAGCTTATAATTTCTGAGATTACACTGTATTACTGTTAGCAGAGTACTGGGGTGCTGTGTACTCCTTCCCAGGTAAGTGTTCTTTCTAGGCTCTTGTTGCCTTGGACAAAGAACTGGACAGGAAACAAAGTAGGGAGGTTTTACATTTACTAAAAGTATTCAAGGTAAGAAAAGAAGGAGAAGAAATGGTCTGAAAAGAAGTGCTCTGCAGAGTAAGTATGTGCCAATTAAAATAGGAACAGAAAGAAAATATGTTCTGCAAGCAGAGTGGATCATGGAGAAAGAAGACAGTGGCCATGAAGCCAATGGCCATGATCATTTATACCCCGATTCTGACATCATATCTAGGCCATCCTATCAAAAACCTGCCTCATCCTGTGCCAGGAAAATTGAAGATAACATTCTCTGATTAGCACCAGGTGCAGGGTTTCTTTGTATGTTCTGAATCTCCATGATTGACAGGTCATGCCCACTTGCCCAGAGACTTTGTAGTGCTTTAATCTTCTGCCTCTTTAGTGATTAAACTTTGTTCTTTTGTTATCCCCAGAGTTGTTTTGATTATTCTAGGTCCTCAGCATTTCCATGTGATCTTTGGATTATCTTCTCAGTTAAAAAAAATTCTGCTGGGATTTTGACTGGGATTACTTTTGACTGGGATTAGAGATGCATTTGGGAGACAAACATTTCAACATTGAGACAGTTCCACTCTTCCGGTTTGTTTATGCCACAACTTTTCAGATTTCAGGGTTATACATTTTTCAAATTTAAGGGTTATAACAGGAATGTCTAGGATGGATCTGCTAACACCCAGTGGATATCATAATAAAGCATGGTCTCTCTGCCTTTGTTTTGTATTTATCTTTTATTACTTTATTTTATTTATTTATTTATTTTTGTGTTTTTGAGACGGGGTTTCACTATGCAGTTCAGGCTGGTCTTGAACTCACTTTGTAGCCCAGGCTCACCTCAGACTCAAAAGATCCTCCTGCTTCAGCCTCCCGAGTGCTGGGATTACAGGCATGTACCACCACACCCAGCTGTCTTTTATTTCTTTAAACTTCTGGTAAAATTCCTGCTCGGTTTTGCATATAGGAGTGTTAATCACTTGAAGAATGGAGTTTCTGAGAATTGAAAATACGAAATTTACTAGACCTATTGTAGTGGATTGATAACTGGTGGTCAACTTATAACCCCCAGCTGAACTGAGTGAGTGGTGCTGGGTGTGGGAGGCCCACCTGGGGATTGTTGTCAGCAGCATAAGAGGC